TCTGGGCTTTTAAGCAGATTCTGTTTTCTTATGCATTTGTATTCCCTTAAAACATCTCTTTTATTGTCTTTTTCAAAAAAGAGTAATTCTTAACTATCTGTTATCCTCTGGGTAGACTTAAAACTATAGACTTAAAAATAACTCTTTGTGATGTGAACAATCATTTTACTAAACCTACATTTAGAGGCAGATACAGCACTTTTCTAAAACAAAGAGCCTATGTTTTTCTTTGCCATCTAAAAATTCTTTTAAGCTATGTGTTATTTTTTTGTTTTATCAAGTCAAGTAACACATTCTCAGCTTAACGTTTCTCATGTCTTTTCTGTGTTCTTTCAGCTTTATTTAGGGCTTCCCTAGTGGCTCAGTGGTAAATAATCTGCCTGCAGTGTAGGAGATGTGGATGTGGATTCGATCCCTGGGTTAGGAAGATCCCCTGGAGAAGGAAATGGCAACCCACTCCAGTTGGTTTCTTGCCTGAAGATCCCATGGACAGAGGAGCTTGGCAGGCTACAGTCCATGAGGTCGCAAGAGTAGGACATGACTTAGTGACCAAACCACCACCACCACACCTTTATTCTAATAATAATTTCATCTCATAACTGGAGACTCGTTCAACTTATCAAACAAATTTTATTGGGCACTTACTTAATGCAAGGTACTTTCCTAGGAATGAGGTATACAGCAGTGACCAAACAGGAGTCCCTGACCTCTTGGAGCTTACATCTGGTAGATATGATAAATAAATAATTGTAGGTTGGAAAGTGATGAAGTGCTGAGAAAAAGAAGAAACAAAGTAGGAAAGAGAGTATATGAAACATGGGTAATATTGAAACTTGATGGGATGATCAGGGGAGATTTCATTGAGAAGGAAAGTTTTGAAAAAAGACCTGAAAGAAGTAAGAAGGTGAACTATGTAGCTATGTGGGGAAGAGCGTTCCAGGCCTAGGGAATAACAAAACCAATAAGTAGTTGTGTGTAGGAGGGGTGGGTCACAGAATTATATAGGGAAGAAGTTGGAGAAATAAGAGAAAGATCATGTAACAGATGTTTGGTTTTTTTGTAATTATCTTTCTTTATCCTGTAATTTTCCTGAGAAATATACTTCTTTTATTTCTAGGTTTTCTTTCTGTGAATTTACTTTAATAAACAGCTTAGAAATTTTGTGATTTTTACCATTTTTGAGTGATAATATACATAAATTGGGGTTTCCCAGATGACACTAGTGGTAAAGAATCCGCCAAAAAGTGCAGGAGATGCAAGAGATGTGGGTTTCGATCCCTGGGTCAGGGAGATCTCCTGGAGTAGGAAATTTTCCAGTATTCCTGTCTGGAAAATTCCATGGACAGAGAAGCCTGGCAGGCTACAGTCCATGAGGCTGCAGAGAGTTAGACATGACTGTGTGACTAGGCACACATAAATTTATTAAAGATTTTTGCCTGTGGAAGAACACATCTCATTTACCACTTGCCATTTAATTAGATGATTTTTAAAAATTAATATTACTGTTTCTTGGGCTGTAGATCTTTACCATTTCCCCAGTAAATGTGATTAGTAATCCAACTGCTTAGTGCTATTTTATATAATATTCATGTCATTTCTAGTTTTTCTTGGAAAATTCTAAATTTTCACTGTTGTAGCAGCATTTTCATTGATACCTTTTAAAAAATAAACCCAATTTGAAATATAAATTAACCTTGAAGATTTTAACTTATTTAGGTTTTCTTAGAGATTTATTTGATTTTGCTCTGTATTCAAAGTAAATTGTTTGCCATCTATGAAATGACCAGGAATCTAGGCAAATAAGATTTTTTTTTTTAATTAAAAAATGTCTGTCAAAGAATATTTAACTCAAAATGACTTTAATGAATTGAAGAGTTAGTATTTATGGTATGTTAGAATGGACATTTTGATGTCAACAAAAGATTCTACTGTTTAGGTCCCCCAAACAGTAGTTGTTGTAACTGTTTCTGATCTTCAGTTTCCTTGTCTGTAAATGGGAATCAAATTGCCTGCTTCCAGGGGTGCACCAACACATTGTTTTGACAATATAATTGAATAATACATGTGAACGCTTTCAAGAAAACTATTAAGTGCCAATCAGTGTGGTAGCATTGTTTTCTATTCTGTTAGGCCACTTATGCTTACCTTTTAAAGTTTTGTTAAATTTTAGTAATCATTGGCTTTGTTAAAATTTGGATAACAAAGCAATTTATAATTATTTTGGACTAATGATCCTGTCAGTAGATCTTTTGTGAAACTGCTTCTACAATGAAAATGGACAAGTCTTGGTTTCACCCAAGTGACCAAGTTTCATGCTGATTTTACTCTCAGTTGCAGTGGCCTCTGGCATTTCGGTTAGATTTTACTTGCTCTCGCTTTGAAGACAGCTATTAGCAATGGGGAATGGGCTTATTTAGGAATTCTGTTAGGGAAGCTGAAGTAGCAGTGTATTAAACATTAATACCTCACCAATATCCTTTGGCCAGTCTAGGAAAGGATTTCATTTAGGGTATATGCAGTCAAAAGTTTATGAAGCACTAGGTAATTGGAAAATTAATATGCCAACATATTGACCTACCAGCCCAGGGCAACATGAAGCTTTGAAGACCTTTGGAGGTGCATATTGCTGCTCGGTAATGGAGTATGCAGGGCATCCATCTTTCAGAATTTGCCACACATTGGTCATGTGGGAAATTTATAAAATCCTAATGCCCAGGTCATAGCTCATACTATTTAAATCAGAATGTTGAGGGTGAGAGCCAGGCATCAGTAGTTCTTCAAGATGCTCAGCAAAGTGGGGACCCATAGGAATATGCGGCTCTGGCCTCCATTCTTCTACCTGTTATTGTTTCACATGCTGTAGCTCCATTCAGTAGAGCTTGATGTTCTATCATGAAAGATATTTGAAAGTATTGGGTAACATCACTCACTCAGATTTGTGTTCTACATTTTTAAAGAGTGCACACTGTTTTACATAGTCTTATGTTGTTTTGAACTTTAACTTTCATTACCAGCCCATGGTAGATATATTCATGTTATTTTTTTTCCATCTGTTACAGATATTTCCCTGACAACTTTAAATGAACCATGGCTTTGTGATTTGAGACACAAAACAATGTCTACAAGTTTTAACTATTTAGGAGTTTCATTGTTTCAATTACAAATTACCATTTTCAGAATAACAGACCAACAAGCCACTTTGATTTTCCAAATCCATTTTTATTTATTTCCAGTTTAGTAGTGAATTGTTACAAGTTAGCCTAAATTTATGGAATTAGTATGTCTGAGGGAATAGACTGTTTAATTATATCACAGCTGCATTAATATTTACTAATATACAAGATGATTGGTGTGTGAAACAAAAACCATACCTATAGTACTAACCGTGATATAAATGAATAACCATTTTTCCAACGTCATGGTTTATTAAGGCAGACTTAGTGTAATCTAATTAAAAATAATTATGCAGGAAGAATTCCTAAATGGCTTGGTTCCTCATGTTGACAGGAAAGAACTAGAGTTTTGGCTGTAAATCCTTAAAAACTTGCCTAAGGCTTGACATAAGTTCAAGTGGTCACAATATTATCTTAAAAATAGTAAAAATTCTATTTTAAGTTATAAAAAAATTTCTGTTTCACAGTCCATGTCAAATATGTGTATGAAAAAATACAGAACATAAAATAATGCTCTGAGTTTTTTCATTGTCATTTGAAATTAAAGAACATGACCCCATTTCTCCAGTACTGTCAAGTATTGTAAATTATGGGAATTCCATGAGGGGGTATATTTGGCTTAATACCTAACATTCAGTCGTCCAGTTTTTGTTTTGGATCGTTTGCTTTTCTTGTTTTGCATTTTTGTTTTGTTTTGTTTTCAGCCATCATTTTGTCTTATCATCTTCAATTCTAGAGCAACCTGACAACAGTAATGATACTACTGAATTGGGCATCCTTGTCATTCCTGAGATTAGTGTCACAAATGTGGCCGGAGAGAGAACCGGGAATGGGGAAAAAGGCAGAACACTAGGAGAGATTGATGCCCAGCATATACAGGGTGTACAGGAAACAGCCACAGATCCTAGAACTGAGAGCAAAGGCTTGCCAGAGATCAGGAGGCAAAAATCTGTAAGAAAAATGATGGAGGATGGAATAAACTCACCTGGCAGAGTGCAGTTTTAGCAGAGCACTTTATAGCTGCACTCCAAGGTATCTCATGGCAAAGGGTCACTGCTGCATGTTTTAAGCAACAGTTGCACAGCCACAAAAATTTTGCATGTCATCTAATCAAAATGCATGAATTATGTGCTACAGTTTCTCAATGACTTAATGCTCTTTGGAATGGTCATATCTACTGTCTCTGAGTAAATTGTTATGAAAATGAGGCAGAAAATGGTTTACAGAATAATTTACTGCTTGTGTTTTGAGATCTAAAATTACTTTTTTATCCTTGTATTTTTGCCATCTTTGATATGGAAGATAATATATATAGAATTTTAACAAGGTTGTGGTTATGATATTTATCGTCTATATATTTTTCTTTTAGTAAGAAAATCTAGAATGTGAAGTGCAACCTTAAAAAAAACTTTAAAATACTTTAATAACATTTTTTTTTAAGTTCCCTGGTATGATCTTTGACTTTACACTGCTTTGCTACTAGGGGAGAGTTTACCCCCTAGTTTTACTGTGTGGTATTTTTCTACTTGTCTCTGATCTTTTGCATGAATAGTAAGAAAACTTTTCTAAAAACACAGTGGGGTGTGGTTTATGGCATGCTTTTTTATTTAATATACTCTAAATTATTCTAATTTTAATGATAAACTATTGACATTTTATAGAATGTTTTGATTTATCCTTTGATTTTGGTCAGTAATCTGTTGCTTTACATATTATGATAAATTGTTCTAAAATTTATTAAAGTATATTTGATTTGGTACTAATCATGAAAAAAAGAATTACTTAAAATGTTTAATGTTAATTAATCCTTGTTATTTCTTTGTTTAGGAGATACAGAATTAACAGGTCAAGAAGAACTGATGGATATATCCGAAGTTGACGAGGGATTTTATTCCAGGGCTGCCTCTAGTACCAGCCAGTCGGGTTTATCAAACATTAGTCAAAATTGTAGTAACAAGACAAGTACAGGAAAGACTCAGAGACGGTCAGGAGGAAACAAAACTGGAGGAAAAGAGAAAGAAACTACAGGGGAGTCTTGCAAAGATCACTTTGTTCGGAAACAAACGCAGAGAGCCCAAAGTGAGAATCTCGAGCTTCTCTCCTTGAAGAGACTTACACTGACAACCAGCCAATCTCTGCCTAAACCTTGTAGTCATGGTTTGGCTAAGACTGCCACCAGTGTTTTCAGTAAATCCTTTGAACAAGTCAGTGGGGTCTCAGCCCCGCATAACCCGTCATCTGCTGTCGGCTGTGGGGCTGGGACAGATGCCAATAGGTTTTCTGCTTGTAGTCTCCAAGAAGAAAAGCTGATATACACTTCTGAAAGGACTGAACTTCCAGTGAAGCATCAGGCAGGTCAGCAGAGACCTCCTAGTATTAGCATTACTTTGTCCACAGATTAATTTGTAAGGGTTTCCTCACATAAGCAGTTAATCTGGAAATACAACTTGGCTTCTTCATGCAAGTTCCCAGGGTCGTCTTTCATCCCTGCTCCTGATGGGAGCCCTGATGTCTTAAATTCTGATGGCTACCTTGACTTTATGAAGGGAATAATGTCTAGGTTGTAGTAAGTTGAAATATGGTTTTGCTATTTCTTGGGTTGTATTTTTTCCCCTTGGCTTGAGTCTTTTTTTTTTTTTTATCTTGTTTCTGTTGCCCTAAGATTGACATTGTGATAGTACATTTTGACAGGTTGTGTGATCAGATTGGTTACATCTCCTGTAAGGTTGTGAATCTTTTTCTTTAATAACTCCTATTTTGGTAGCTATATATGTTTGGCCTTCAATGTAAAGGGAATCCATGTATGGAAACCGTTTTTTCAAGGATGAGTCTAGGTACAACTCCAGGAATTCTACAGCTGGCTATTTAGCAAGCCACTCTGAAAAACAGGCATGTGAGAAAACAAAAATGATACGTATGAAAAGTGCCTGATAAAAATGTTTGTAGCCAGATCATCTTGAAGATTAGTAGAACAGTTTATATAAAGCACTGGAAAATGCCTCATAACTCAGTACCCTAAAATATTATATGATTCCAGGGAATGGGAAGAGGGGATGCCATCATTTATTTGGAACATTTTATATCAAAAGTCAGGTTGCAAGTAGGTGTGTTGTTGTGAAGTGTTTGATCTGGATTTAGCAGGAGAAAATCCTTTTCAGTTCCTAAGATGTAATAGGCCATAAAGCTGGCTTACCCTGCCGCTGGACTTCGGAAATACTGCTTAGTTTGGATTCCCATAGTTCAAAGCACGTGTCATTGAAGACTTCACTGTAAATTTTGTACCTCAGCTCTAACGATACCAGTGTTCACCATGTTGAATGGTTTGTCTACAAATGAAGGAAATTAGGTAAATTTTTCATCTATTAAATATCATTGAAAGAAAATAAAAATAGTGAAATATGGACAAAAGACATTTATATATTAACTAATTTAGGTTATTTATGTTTGTGTTTTTAAATTTTTAAATATGAAAAGTACTGAATGTGTTTCTTGTTTTGTGAACAGGCCTATTTTAAACGTTCTTGTTAAGATATGAAGAATAATCAGTGGAGTTGCCCCCAGCCAAAAAAAATTAAAATAGAAAGCTAATTTAACAGAAGCTGAACAAACGTGTATGTAGCTATAGAGGATCATGTGACCTCCAAATGGATGTAAAAATTTGGTATTTGCTAGTGGTGATAATTTCAGCTATGGTGAGGTTCCTTTTAAAGCAAGTGCTTAGTAATAATCTAGGGTGAGGGAGAAAAAAATCAGGGTTGAGAATGACAGAGTAAGTTGACTGGGGAGGAAGGCCTAGGGAGCTGTCCCCTTTTCAGTGGTTAGTACACAGTGTTTTCCTTATTCAGAGTCCTTAGCTGTGGCCACACAGAGAAAATGCTAGTTTTCATCTTGTACCTGTTTATGCAGTGCTCAAATATGTGAAAAAGTTGTATGTCTTGAAGACTGCTAAAGAATTTACATTATGAATGTAGTTTTGACTGTAACTACTTTGGCTGTTGTTTTAAATCTAATTTTTAAAAAATCATTAACTAGTTTTCATTGAGTAATCCTGAATAAAATATGGGTTTTAACATAAGTGAACTTGATATTTTTAGTTCCAGTGGTAGAAATGAAATAAGATCTATTGGCATACATTATAGTTTAAAAAAAAAAAAAGGGCAAGTCAACTGGACAGTGAAAGTTGACAAAGTATTAATGTACTAAGAATCCTGTGTTCAATTTAAATCCTGTGTACAGTCACTGTGAATTTCCTATTGTCTTTTTGTAATTCTTTAACAAAGAATTTTTCCTAGGCATAGCTGCTAACAATCTTAATAGTCTTTAAGAGTCTTAAGAACTAATTTAAAAGATTGGCATTGGAAGCAAGTTAAGGTGCTTAGGAAATGTTGTAGATGGTTTTTGGGAAACATTAGTTTGAGGACACATTAGCCAGCATACATAAGAGATCAGGTTTTAATGTTCAGCTGTTGTGATGGAACCTCATTTTGGTATTATTCTAGATCACTGTGGTCTGAGGAGCAGCAAGGAGCATTGGCATCACCTGGCAGAATTTCAGAGCCACCTTAGATCTACTGAATCATAGCCTGTCTTTTAATAAGATCTCAAATGATTATTATGCACATTAAAGTTTAAGACAGTATCAAAGTGCAAACAAATCACTTACCTAATATTTAGAATTCTCAGTGGTCTCACAACCCTAGATCAAATATGTTGGATACTATAATCTTCATTGTTTTTAACAGCTAATTAATTTTTTACAGTGTCAACTCACTTAAGTCCCCTAATTCTAAATCTTTAATGAATCTCATTTGTTCTTACAATAAAAATGGTTAATATTTTGTATTTTTCTGATAACTAAAAATGGAATCAGAGCTCTACAGTTTCAAGTATGAGGGGCACCACCCTTTATACAGCGCACAGCAAACCTGCATGTGCTTATTCTTTTAAAACCTGAAGGGTTACCCAAAGGAATGGTTCTGAATTTCTGCTCCAGGTAATTTGCACCAGTTGATTTTCTGGAACGTGGAATTATGTGGAGTTGTGTAAACAAGAAAATTCTTTTGTAGTATCTTTGATGCTATTTCAAATAAGGATTATACATTTGAAAATTTTTATAACAGTTATAAATACTGGGTAATGCTAACTTATTGTAGCAATTGTAATTGTCTCTACTATTCTTGTCCCACTTATTTTTCCAAATTTGAAAGTTGGGGTGGCTTTTGTAGGTCATTTTCTTCTGAAGATGCTGATGTGACCATTTGGTCACAGACCTCTATATATTCAGAGTAATATCTTTTATCGCAAGAAGGATTCTGCACAAAACTGGGGCCTTGTACCCCATAGCTCAGAGGATCTGAGTAGACCCTGTAGTCCCATTCCACATTTTAAACCTCTGAAAGATTCTTGGAATTACCCAACCTCTCACTCTTCAAATACCCAACTACCTAGGATATTCTAGTGAAGCTGGATGCCAGATTTTGCCTTTTGGAATCCAAGTGGAGAAAGAAACAAAGACTTAAGGGGAGTGTCCTAGGGCAGGTGAGCACCCTGGAGTCCCTTGTTATACCACCATGGAGCTTTTAAAGGCAATTCTGTAGATTTGAAGAGTAGAAATTCTCAGTCCTTAAATGATTTCAGTGGTTTTGAAAAAGCAATATTTCATTGTTCTCTTCAATTATGAAGTAACTGCTTAGCAAAAATTATTCATTTAAAGACAAAAGAGTTGAAATAAAGGGAAATAAAAATTTTAAACCAAACTAGATAAAAATGATCCCATTTTTAGGGGATTTTGCCTGTTTGGAAGAATAAAATTAAAGTGGTGAAACCTTTACATTTAAATTATAAGGAAAAATACACTCAGAGTTAATTTTCAGCAAATATTTAAAATAAGGCTATTTAACATTTGAGTCTATAGGCACTGTAAGTCTACACTTTATTAAAGGGAAACACATCAAGAAAATATGTATGTTAAATAATGTAACTGAAAAAAAATTTTTTGAAAAGCCATTTAAAAAGAATAATTTGATGGGTACTTAGGCATTGTAGATAAAAATTAGTGTATTAATAGTGTCTTCCCAATCTTTGGATAAAAAAATTAACTCTCTAGGCCTTTGATTAGCATGAATTTATACTTTTAGATTAATTACTTTGTAAAATTATATATAATGCTTTGAGTTATTCACATTTATATTTAATATTGATAAATTCTTCATCAGAGAATATAAGTATGTTGTCTTCTGTATTTTGTAACTTGTGCATATCTAAAGAGACTAGCAGTGAACATTTTAGAAGATGCTTTTGTATTTTTTAATAGTAGAGTTCTAGAGTATTAATGTCTTGATATAAAGTTTCTACTAGTAAACTCAAGATCTTGTTTCACATACTGTTATTGTGTACCTCTAATCTTTACTTCTAATTACATAGTGATACTAATCTTTTCATAGTAAATATACTTGTTTCTAATTGTATTCCTAGAGTTTACATTCCTAAAGAATAAATTATGACTTTGGATATTTTTATGTGCTCCCTACCTTTTTAAGGTTATGGAAATAAACTGGAGTTTAGTTTTTTGATGTTTTGTATATTTGTGTAATTGTTCTCCATATATAATACTTTTTACAACAGCGCTGCCTCTTGTTTTATTGAAATAAAAACAGAAAAAATATTTTTTCCAGATCACTTTACTCATTAAAAAACCATCATAAAATTTTGCAAAAGTCATGATGTGGAGGAAGAAATTAAAGAAGGAAGACTTAGGTGAGTTGAGTCATTGAGAGCTTTTGGGAGTAAGCCATAGGACAACGACGTTTCATTCTTGGCTTTATGTTTTACACGGCCTATGGATAAGATGTGTGACAAATTCATTAGTATTCATCAAAAAGAAGATGAGCTCCATGAGTCATGCACCACTGACATTTGTCATACCAAGAGTACAGGCAACTTTAGATAACAATGCTTTGCCCTTTTATCTGTTGTATGAGTCTTTATCTCTTGAATGCAGAGATTATATGCCTCTTGGATAGGACTTTGTGCATTGTAGATATTGATAACACTTAATGAAGGTGTGAGTTAGGTTGACATTAGTGTTGGGAAAGAATCACGGATAAGTTCTCCAGTGTATTATATTACAGTAAAATTTTAAAATTCCATTTACTGACTCTAGTAAATCTCCATGACATTACCTTGAAGAGGATTACTGTGTGTGCTTAGAAACAAAACCCTCTTAGAAACTTGAAAAAAAAATCCTGTTGTATAATTGATTATATATTTGGATAATTCCACTTCATCTAAGGAACTGAGTAATTTTGGAAATATTTCCTAAACTACTATTAGAGGATCATTCACAGAGAACAAGAGAAGTGATTTTTGTAAATCACATGTTAGCCCTATGGAAGAGAAACTC